GGCCAGAAGAAGACCGTCCACAGGATCCAGAGCAAGTACTACTGGCTGGGAATCATCAAGGACGTCGTGGACTGGGTACACACATTCCTCTGTGTATGGTGTTTGTTTGTTTTTTTCAAATCTGTTAGGAATACTGACAACAGTGTCTAACTTTTGTTACCACTGTTTCAGATAAAAGTCTGTGAAACGTGTCAGCACACAGAGAGAAATAAGAACCAGTCGAGAACTATTCGGCCAATAAAAGTGGATGCACCTTGGGAAATTGTCGGGATTGACACGATAGGTTTTTGCCTCAGTTCATTTAAGAAAATTCTCTTTGATTATGTCTGCAAGATCATTTCTTTCCACAGATGTTAGGCTGACTGTGTGGTTTGTCTCTCCTCTTTGTCAGGGGCCTTGCCAGAGACCCAGAGAGGCAACAAGAATGTCACGGTGGTGATTGATTACTTCACTAAATGGCCAGAGGCTTTCCCAGTGCAAAAGACAGATGTTGCCTCGGTTGCAAGATGCATCTCTAAATGCATATACAGGTTGAAAACAACTTATTTGCAGACCATGCACATGAGCAAAATTACCAAGAATTAAATACCTAAAGTGGTGCTTTTCAGCCTGATGCTGATCTTTGCTCTGTTTTTAATCAGGTTCGGTGCCCCTAAAATGATAGTTTGTACACAGAATGCTGACTTCTGTGATAAGGTGAGACTGCAGCAGCAGAGTCGTATAAAATAATAAGATTGGGAACGGTAGGTCAACACTAGGCTGATTTTTAATTTTCTAGGTGACAAAGGTGCTGTTTGAAAGGTGGAGCATCACACAGAAGGTCTCTCCTGTGGACCAGCCTCAGCTCAACCCACTCCACGACTGCACAAGCCCTCTGTTGAAAGAAGCCATACTGCAGATGGTGTCGGAGAAGCAGGCAGAATGGGATGATTTTCTCGACCCTGTGCTGTTTCTGTTCAGGACATCCACCAACCCCACAACAAAGTTCACTCCTTACTCTCTCATGTTTAACAGGACAGCCAGTTTACCAAATGAGGTGAGACTGCAGGAGATAAGTGAGCTCTAAACACCTGATTGGTTTGCCATTCCTCAAACATAATTTCTTTTCACGTAGAACGCAGCAAATCGGCTGAATCGTGACGAGCCGGAGCAGGATGTGTACTCTACGAAGGAGAAGGCCTCTGCGTACATGAGTGTCATTCAGGAGCAGCAGAACTCTGTTAAGCAGCTGGTAATTCTCATCATTTTCTTCTGTCTTCCTTAAGTGAAAATGGATGCTGGTGATCGAGTGTGCGATCGCACGAATCCAGGCAGAGGTCAGGAAGTCTGTTATAAAACAATAGTTGCATGCTAATGAAGTTGTGTGCAAAAGTCTTGAGCCACTAAACATTTCCTTATATTTTGCCAACAAGGAGCCAGATAGTCCTGTCATTTTCCTAACGTGGTCTTGAACAGCAGTTCCCCAGGCTCTGATCATTCTTCACTCATTGTCAGTTCAGCCCTTGTACCTGAATATTTGCAGGGGAATGGTTTCTGTTATGTTAAGCCACTTAGCACTGATCTGTGAATCACTCAAGCATAAACAAAATGCAGCTAACTCAAGGGATGAGTCATTGTTGTGTCCGCACATAACAGACAACTTGGCAAAGAATCAACTTTAAATTGTACCTATAGGTACTTTGTTACTAGCTGTCTGTTGCAAAAACACACAATTTGTGCACTCTTCTTTAGTTGCCAAAGATAACGCCTTTGACAGATGTGAAATAGTATTTTTGCACCACTAAGATGACTGACAAAAACTTGGCATATGTGGACATGTTGTGCAGTGTGTCCTAAGGAAACGGGACAAGTGGACGACAAACGATGTGGCAGGAATGAAAACAACAATCTACAATAGATGAACCGTATGAGAAAAGTCATGTCTGTAAGAATTAGAAAAATATCCCGCAAAGTTCTGACAGAAAATCTAAGACGTGTGTCTGACCCATCTAACGATCACTGAAACCTCTTCAGAAATTATCTCAGTGGAACGATGACTGACAGGAAGCTATTGTTAAGGAGGGGAAATGGGGAGAAAAGGCTGAGGAATGCCAAATTCCAGAAGAACTGGACTGCAGATAAGTGGCAGCAAGTATTTTGGAGTGATAGATCCAAATTTAAAATCGTAATTAGTAGAGATGGACCGATCCAATATTACGTATCGGTATCGGTCCGATACTGACCTAAATTACTGGATTGGATATCGGAGAGAAATAAAAAATGTAATCCGATCCATTAAAAACCACGAAAGCACCTCACAAAACTTGCGACATGGCGTAACTCAGCTCATAACCTCAGCACATCGGAGCAGTGTGCTCACGTGATAGAGCGGCTGTGCGAGACCTGTCGGAGGTCTGGTTGAGCATTTGGAGCCTCGCTACCAAACCGGCATTTCATCTCCGAGGAAGTGATCCCCGAGAGAAGTAAAGCAAGTGTGTAAGTTCATCTTTGAATGTTTGTAAAGCATTCCTGCGTTAAGCTTAACGATTCTCTCTCCCTCCCTCTCCGGCTGCTACTTCAATCATGAAACTGCTTAATGATCAGCTGATCGGCTTTTCTGTCACGACTCCGTCTCTCTTGTTTGTTTTTGGCCCACTTCGCACCAGACAGAGGAAACCAGTGGCTGAACAACAGCAGCATGTTTAAGCTTGATAAGCTGTTGTTAGAATTTATTCAATATTACTTTCTACACCAGGATCCTTTTCTACGTAGCTGACGGCTGGTAACTGTGCAGGGGCGGATCTAGCAAAGTTTTGCCAGGGGGGCAGGTAGGGCGTTAACAGAGATAAGGGGGCACAAAGAAATACTTTTCTTTCTTATTCTCATTTAAAATGTCTAGCTTTTAATAAATAATTATCTGAATCTTACAACCAAAGTTTTAATCTGATGTAAAATGTATAGAAGTCCATTACTGTATATAGTAACTATTAAGTCTAATATACCCTAGTAAGCTATAGTACTTTTTCCTTTGGGAAGGTACCATCTGTGCAGTCTGCAGTTCTGTTGTAGAAAGATGTTGAATCTATTTAATTATTGTGGAAAAATAATTGATTTCAGTGCATTTTTTTTTACACGTGCATTAAATTAAAGTTGATTACGTCGATTTAGCAAATTAAACTGATCTATTAGAGAATCCCATTATAACATCCTCCATAATCTCTGTTATTAGCCTTAAATTAAGTGACAGCAAACGTGCATGGAAGCTCATTTGGTTTTTGTCTCTTTTATCCTTTGGTTCCATGTTCAGGTGTTAGCCAATATGAATGCAGCCTACAAACAAGAGAAGAAGAATGCCAAGCGCAAGTCACACAACATGTCCCCAGTGACCTTTAAAGCGGCAGACCCCATGTTTTCTCCAGGAGAAGCACCTTCACTGAAAAAAGTGAAAGAGGAGCGTTTGTATTTGACTTTTCCCGTTGAGACGGTGCTGGCCACCGAGCAGAGCAGCTCAGAGGATGTAAAGACTGAGTTAGTGTATCACTTGGCTGAGTCCGATGTAAACTGAGAAGGGTGTAGGTGCAGAAGATGTTCCGGATGTTGGTGATATTCAGGTCAGTGCAAGGCACCAAAGGTACCTGAATTATCTGGAATTTCATCCGGAATCCAACCAGCGGCCCACATCTTCTTTTACGCCCACACTCTTTTCCCCAATGAACTGTTGTTTCTCCTGAAAATCATCTTAACTTATTTTCATTTTGCAGTACTATAAAGGTATTTGTACCTTTTATTTGCTAAAATACTTTACAAATAAAGGTGTTGTTTCATTTATGTATACTAGATGTGTAGTTATTATTAAAGCCTGACCAATTTGTCAGTGGAAAATTGTTATCCGATCATCACTCATTGATATCGGCATTTACAACAACAGATAAATGAAAATTTAAGAAGTAAAAAAAGAGAAGAGAGAAACACCCTTTCACCGTGTTACGAGTGTCGATATTGCATTGTTTGTCCACCAGAGGGCACTCTACACCTTGTTGCAAGAGTTCCTGGTGATTTAAAATGTATATCATCTTTGAAAAATATGCTGGCTCTACTGCACATCACACAAACTACAAAAACAAATGTGTTACTGACCTAATAAGTTTATAAATATTCAAATTTGTTGAATTAGTCATAAGTAATAATTGAATTTTGGTTTCTAAACGTGAGCTCAAATAGTAGTTATTTCACTTTAGTTTTAATCCATCCATTCTCTTCCACTTATCCTTGTCAGGGTCGCGGGGTGGCTGGAGCCCATCCCAGCTACCACAAGGTACCAGTCTATCACAAGGCTAACACACAGAGACACTCACATTCACACCTATTACCAGTTAACCTAACCCCACTAACTGCTTGTCTTTGGACTGTGGGAGGAACCGGAGTACCCACAGAGAACCCACGCAAACTCAACACAGAAAGGCCACGTGGTTGATTCGAACTGAAGACCTTGCTGTGAGGGAGCAGTGCTAATCACCCCGCCACCTTGTTGTCTTAGTTTTGATCTCTTCCAATAAATCACAGATATGTATGAAAGTCACAATAATTTTGAGAATTTCTGTTTAATTCACTAAATAACAAAAAGATCACAGTGACTGTAAAGTTGACTTTCTCAACCTCAAAAGTCAGTGGACAAAGTAACACAAACACCAAGATTCTTTAAAACTCTGATGCCATCTTTCAGTCGGATATGACCACAGCTGGGAGGGTTTGCTAGGCTTCAGTTGGCTTGAGTTTACCTTAAGAAGCTCTGTGGTGACTCGCATGATAGATGAGATGACCTAAAACCCAATGCAACAACAACCTGTTAGTAAGTCATTAACTTACTGATAGTAATTAACTGATAGTAACTTAGCAAGTCATACCTTTGACCCGCCAACCCAGTGATGTCATATTGGTGTCAGATGGCACTGCACATGCTGTAAAAACAGAAGGTTAAAAGACTGATTGTTTTAAATCTAGCTTCACAAACAGAGTGATACATGTTATGTTCCATGTCCACTTTAATGGAAAACTGGGAGGAGCCAAACTGGTCATTTTCAGCGAGACTCTATGGAAACATCCGTAAAGCTAAAAGGAAAGATGTGTCACTCTGTCTTCTTTCCTGTAACTTTAGCCATTTAAAAGCGGGTTTCTGTAGTCTGCAGAACACGAGTGGGCATTCTTTAACCATCAGACGTTATTGGCTTCGTATTCGGGTTAGGGACATGTGAACCTCTTGAGTAGAAAAACACAAGATAGCAAAAAAATAAAAGATGAACTGGTGGTAGAAACGCTCACTAGTGTGCCGCACAGAATCACTGCCTGCACTTAATCTTCTGTAATCTAGACGAGCTTCGATGCCGGCGTCTTCTTGAACGCCGGTATCGAAGTTCATGTATTCGTTACACGAACTTGAGTCAGTTTGGGTTGTAATGCATGTGTTTGAGGACAACATTGAATAAGGAGAGGGGTTTCAGTGAGTTACTGAATGCTGTCGGGGCTGGACAGTGACAAGATTTAACACGGAAGTGTAACGCAACGCAGCTGACCGCCCTCAAGAAGCTAATTCACAAAGCTAGCCAACAATGTGTTACAGTAATGTTGCGGCATGGCTGGACAATCGTTAACAATGTAGTGACGTCCTAAATGCTGGTAGTTGTAATAAGACTACTTGATATTTTGTGTGCAGCTGCATAAAACGGAAAAAGATCGGAAAGAATAACTAAAATAATCCGGTTTTGCTGAGTGCTTGTGTTCTTGTCTGGTGTATGTTTTGAGAAACTTTTCTCACATTTTATTCAAACCGCGGCTGCACTGTAACCGATCATTTCTCAAGCCGCTGTTTGCTGCTTTGTGCCGGTGCTGCTCTCTGTTCTGATAATCAGCATGGGAATCAACGTGGCTGTGGGCTGCATCGTGTCATACGTCCTCCTGGATGTTGTCACCACCACTGTCCTGTACGCACATGGATCACAGCTGAGCACCTTCACAGAGGATGCCCTCAACTTTAATATCCTTCTGTCTGCACTGGACATCTGGGGGACAGTGCTGCTCCGAGCCTCCCTCCTGCTGGGAGCCTCTTTAGGGGTGACATGGAACAAGGTGGACGGCCCGCAGAGGGTTGCTAAATCCACCAGCCTTATTCTCCTCATCTGTCTGATCGTCATCACCTATACATTGGTCAAGCTGCTGATGCTGACTGAGGTGAGGACTTTGAGCATCAGTCACCAGCCCTGGCTCTTGAGCCTGATATGTTGGACTTGTGCCTCTTCTCTTGGAGTAATGCTGCTCTGGAGGTGGCTGGGGAAGGAGCCCGACTCTGAGAGCAGCAGTAGTGGTGGAGGAGCAAGGGGCCGTGAGGACACTGAAAAGCTGGTGGAGACAGTTGGTGAGGAGGAGCAGGAGTTGGGCTCTGAGAGAAAGAAGGAGAAGGACAGCAGCTCGGGGGCCACACTGGGACGCCTGCTGAGCTACTGCAAAAAGGATGCTGAGCTGCTCTCTGTTGCTGTCCTCTTCCTCATCATCTCTGCTGTGTGTGAGTGTCCTTAATGTCACATTATTTATTGCTGTCTGTTATAAAGGATTTAGACACACTGCCCCAATGCAACTGACAAAACTGAGTCTGCAGGTTCTGATTACGCTACTCATGCCGCGTTACACAACACTTTTTAATTACAGATAAGTGCTATGGTAGAAAAACAAGTGTGTTCTTTTCAATATGTTCCAACTGTTGATGCTTTCTGTCATGGAATTATTAAAAGGACCCCTAACTCGCTCATATGTGTCCCAGTTGCTAAAAGACAAATGTTTTTTGTCATAAAGCCCAAAGATATTGATCAGTATATTCATCTACATTACTAACCAGAAGCCTCAGCCACCTGCTGTTCAAACTTTCTGTTTCAAAGGACTAGCCAATCAGAAGAAAGTTGACTTAAACGGTGCCTGTGCCAAGGCCCTGTATATTAAACGCTAGGTTTCATTTTAACTGTGAAGCATACAAAGCGTCTCTATTAGAGTCCAAGAATAAAAATAAAAGAGCTGGAAATGGTATATTTGGTGAATGCCAATAAATGTCTACACCTACATTAATAGGTCAAAGTCATACTAAGTAACTCTAAGGCTCATTATTGTTTGTAACAGTGGGCTGAATGCCAGAGCCTCCAACAGCACTCACGGTTTTATCAGTTTCATCAATTCTTTAATTTATGGAATATCATTAAATACACACATTTCATTCAAATCATTTTGGAAGTTTGCTCATTTTCTTTGAAGTGCAATATAAAAATTTGAGGTATTTTCTGTACTCGTACATCTAAACTATGCATTTGTCCATCCATCCATTGGTTTTGTGCTGCTTAAAAAGCGATTACAGGGGCAACAGTCTGAGCAGAGATGCCTAGAACTCACTTTCCTCCACCTCAGCCTCCAGCTCTTTCACAAGGATATCCCAAACCAGCCAAGAGACATAATTTGTCCAGCATGTCCTTGGTGGGCCCAGGTGTCTCTTTCTTGTTGGGTATACAAGAAAAACTTCATATTGGAGGTGTTCAGGAGGCATCTTAACTAATCTTCCCTTGCCTGAACTGCTCCCCAGGAACTGAGCATCTGAGCTCTAAGGGTGAGCCCAAACACCTCGAGGTTCTGTTCCTAAATGTTAGAAAAACATTTGGGACAAGGGGAGTCCCAAATGTCCCAAAAAACAAAAAACGCTCTCACTATGAATGTACAGTGACCTTATTTTTCACTCTGATTTAGAATTGAATAAAAAAAAGCATGGAGCATGGAGGTTACCACTGTTGCCGCACAGCAAGAATGTCCTGAGTTCAATTCTCCATCAGGCTGTGGTCTTTCAGTGTGGAGTTTGCATGTTCTCCCCGGGTACTCCGGCTTCCTCCCACAGTCCAAACACATGCAGCTTGTGGGGATAGGTTAACTGATCAATCTAAATTGCCTATAAGTGTTAATGTGAGCATGAATGGTTGTCTGTCTCTGTGTGTTGGCCCTGCGACAGACTGGCGACCTG